ACAACTACTAGGCACTGCTGCTAGGACCACTACTTCTACTTCTGCTGCTGCTGCTACTACTACTACTGCTGCTACTGCTACTGCTACTGCTACTGCTACTGCTACTGCTACTGCTACTGCTACTGCTACTGCTACCCCTACTACTACTACTACTACTACTACTACTACTACCACCACTACCACAACGATTATTACGTGCCGCAAAACTGGAAGCACTAATGTGTCCAGTCATTTTGGTTCGGTTGGCTATCTTGAGTCATTTTGGTCATCTTGGAGGGGAGGGGTCAAGATTTCCAGTGATTTTGGTAATGTTGACCCACGCGCCCTGCTTGACTACCGTTTAGGGTTGGGCAAGTGGGGCAAGTGGTGCAAGATTATCAAGATGACCGTTCAAGTTGCACACGTTAGTGGTTCCAGTTTCCCGGCACATTGCACTACTACTAGTACCACTTATACCACTGCCACTATCACTACCACTGCCACTGCCACTACCACTACCACGACGACGACGACTACTACTATTACTACAACTACAACAGCTATGATTCAGAACACTAATACTAGTACTACCACTGCCACTTCCACTGCCGCTACCCGCGCTGCTACCACTGCTACTACCACTATCATTACCACAGCCACTATCCCGCTATCGCTACCACGGCCACAGCCACGACCATGAGTAGTTACGACTGCTGCGACGACCACGACCTGTGCTGCTACCAGTGCTATTAATACGCCGACCACCACCGCCGCCAGCAGCACTACTACTGGTACGACTATTACTATTTGCTTCGGCATCTAACATGGTTTTTGTTGTCAATATTCTTTGTTACTTTGATACTTTTGTCATGATTTCCTGTCCTGTTGTTACGACAGTGGCTTTTGTTAGGGCTGGACCCCACTTGATGTGTGGTGTTTTCGGGCAAGCTGCTTCTGCTCTGTTGATTTTGAAGCCTTGAGCGCTAGACCCGGATAGCGCCTACAGTAAAAACGGCAGCTGCTATGGAAGAACCTCGGCAGTAACACAATGAAGAACCCCCTGAAGCCTAAATCCTAGACCTCCAGCCCTAAACGCTAAACCCTGACCCCCTAAACCCCTAAACCTTACACCCTAAACCCCTAAACCCTGAACCCTAAACCCCTAAACAACCCTAATCCATCCGGCCGAAACTCTGAACCTTAGAATCGGATTTCGGGCTCTCGGACTCGTCCTGACTCACGGACGCTTTTCGTTCAGGTCTTGAGGATTTAGGGTTTGGGGGTTTTAGAGGTTTAGACTTTCAGGGTTTAGGGTTTAGGGGGTTTTAGACGTTTAGGGTTGTTAGAGGTTTAGGGGTTTAGTGTTTAGGGTTTTAGGGTTTAGGGTTTTAGAGGTTCAAGTGTTAGGGGTATGGTTCGGGGCTAGGGTCTACAGGCTTTTCTTTGTGATCTGGGGCAAGGAGTCTAGGACATTTTCAGGCAGGTAGTTACCGTTATAGGAGCCTTATAGAAGGTCTATATACCTTATGGAAGCCTTATGGAAGCCCTACATACCCTAAACTCCCCACCTGTAGTTTCCTTCGGAGAAGGCTGTGCGTTTCTGCTGGCACAAGTTCCATGTAGTGCAATGCGAAAGCATCGACCTTCAGAGCTCTAAGCTCTAAACCCTCTAACCCTGAAACCCCCAAACCCCTAAATCCCTAAACCCCTAGACCCTTAAACCCCTAAACCCCTAACCCTTAGACCCTGAACCCCTAAACCCTTAAACCCTAAACCCCAAACCCTGAACCCAAACCCTCAAGGTACCTCGCGGCGGCATGCGCGACGAGCCAGGAGCCCCCGGCGGCCACGGCGCCCGGCTAGGAGTGGCGTCCGAAGCACAAGCACCCTTAAGAACCCCCAAAACCGGCCCACTGAAAAAGGAACCCTGGAGGGAACCCCTTTAAAGGCACCTCTAAAAGGAACCCTTAAAGGAACCCTTAAAAGGAACCCTTAAAGGCACCCTTCAAAATCCACCCTTCAAAATCCACCCTTAAAGGCGCCTTTAAAGGCACCCTAAAGCCGCGAAGCTGATAGGAGAAGCGACCGGGGGCGGAGCCGAAGCCGGCGGCCGGCAAAGCCCAAGCGCTCGCCGAAGGCCAGGATCCTCGAGGGAAAAATAAGAAGCTTAGGGTTTAGGGTTTCTTATTAGGGTTTAGGGTTTAGGGTTTAGGGTTTAGGGTTTAGGGTTTAGGGTTTAAGGTTTAGGGTTTCATCTTAGGGTTTAGGGTTTAAGGTTTAGAGTTTATATGGTTTAGGGTCTAGGGTTTATAGGGTTTAAGGTTCAGGGTATATCATCATCATTAATTAATCAATAGGAAAAATTAACAATAATACCAACCAATAATCATACCAACCAAGAGTAGCAATAATAACAACAATAACAGCCATAAATAACAATAGTTATAAGAATGGCAATCATCACAATACTAGCAATAAGTATATCAGCAAAATCATCATCATAAAAATCAAAATGTTCGGGAAGGAGCTCGATCCTCGAACTTTTCAGCAGGTCGGTTGTAGCTAGGTTGAGGCTTCCCAGCCTGTAGCCATGTGAGGATGCGGCTTAAGCTGCACGAGTTAGTGCTCGTTTAGTGTAGGCCTGAGATGCTAGGAGCATCTAGACATTGGTCTTGAAATTGTGAACCTGAGACGACTTACGTATCCTACTAAACCCTGAACCCTAAATGCTGAAGCAAAAACCCCAAACCCCATGTCAAGCGCCAGCTAGACCTGCTGGCCGGGCTCTGGACGTCGACAAGCTTGGTGCTAAATGTTGCCTGTAAGCTACTACCATCAATCGCCGACTACTCCATGCCTAAACCCTGAACTCTAAACCCTCAACCCTAAACCCTAAACCCCTGACCTCTAAACCCTAAACCCCTAAACCCCTGAACTCTAAACCCTCAACCCTCAACCCCGAACCAAAACCGCAAACACTCTAATTACTGCACCCTGAAAAGATGAGCTCCAATCATCCACGGCCCAGAAGACCTGAGCCTCCGAGACTCGACCCTGATCCTGAACGACGGCTTAGGGCTTATAGGGTTTAGGGCTTTAGGGCTTTAGGGGTAAGGGCTTTAGGGTTTTAGGGGTTTAGGGTTTTAGGGTTTTAGGGGTTTAGGGTTTTAGGGTTTAGGGTTTTAGGGGTTTAGGGTTTGGGGTTTAGGGTTCAGGGTTCAGTGTTTAAGGTTTCAAGGCTAGGGTTTAGGGTTTAGGTTTAGGTTCTCCGTTCTTCGTTCCGTTCAGGGGCTGCGGCTGCGATCAGCCCACCCGCATCGGAGTCCGCATGCGAAGCGCGATGGGCATCGGGATCGAGGGGTTGAAATCTAGGGACCCTAGTCAGGCTAATGTAGGGGCCGGAATACTTACCAATACTATTTTGGGGGTTTCCTTATCAAAATTATAGTATAATGGGCCCCAAAACCTTATTCTGATTATTAAGGCCCCTATATTTGAGTAATCATGTCCCTTAATTCTTATGCCACGATATACCCTCCATGAAGGCCCCACCCAATTTGAGAAAAGCAAGTACTGGCAGTTACTTCCGGCTTCTACTTCCGCCCTAAAAGACACTTTGTCTTGAAGAGCAGACTTCCGGGTCGAGGTACCAAATGTTGAATTTTGGAGGCACCTTCTGAATACAGGTACCTTGTGATTTTTAGAGGTACCTTAGGAATGTAGAGGTACCTTAAACCCTAAGCCCTAAACCCTATTGATGGTGCTTGTGTTCTTGGAGCTTTCGAACTTCAGGGGCTTGGTACTCAGGATCCTGTTCTGGACTCTCGCTGTCCCCTTTTTCCTAGCTGAGGGCTTACGAGGGAGACAACGTGCATGTAGCTATGGGGGGCTTAATAATTAGAAGAGGTTTGGGGGTATATCATACTATATACATTAGCTATGGTAGCCAAGTCTCCCCAAACCCACAAGCCGTCTGGAGGCTGTAAACATTTCTTGGTTGTTCCCTTACTGGTATTCCCTGGACAGCGGTTGAAGAGACCGCATTTCCGACAGGTTCGAGGCCGCCCTACCAAGCCAACCTTAAGCCATGACAGGGAACAGAACTGGGGTTAGAACGATTCTGTCCGACCTCGAGAAGCAAATGGCATCGCAGATTCAGGGTTTTAAGGTTTAGGGTTTTTTCCGAGACCATTCCAGGCAGTTCCACCCCAAATGTAAGTGATCCCTAAATGCTCCATACTCAGAATAGGGTTGAGGAGTCGTGTAGAATGATACTTGGAATGGGTTTAGGGCTATGTTGTAGTCGACCTATACCGGGACTATACGGTGCTTTTAGTACCAAATATGCAGACCTCTATATCATCGTCGTCATCATCTAATCCTTTGAAGGACCTCTCAAAAGAAGCGTCTTACTATATATTCAGTCCTCTTTCTCTCTATCATCAAAGAAAGTGAGCATCGAGACTCCTTCAAATCACTCCGAACACGGGTCTTGCAGCGATTTGTTAAGGGTGCTTTAAAGGTGCAGCCGGGATTTGGCAAGGATTGGAAAAGACCACGGGCTTCAATGCTTTCTTCGTCCAGAAGCCCTGTGATGCTAGCCAAGTCTACACCGAAATCCTGCTGCGGACCTGCCGCTACCCCTTCCCCTAAATCCTCCCCTAGACCCCGCAGACCGCAAACGCCGAGTTATAGAAGCCCACTAAACCCTTGCCTAGCAACAACCCTAAACCCTAAACCCCTAAGCCCTAAACCCCAAGCAATCGATGAAAGGATGCCCTTGTAGAAGTCCCTGAACCCTAAACCCTGAACCCTAAACCCTGAGCCCTAACCCCTAAATGCCTCTGACAGCCGCGACCGGAAGCGGAGCCGGGAGAGACAAGGAGATCCACCTAAAAAGGCACCTCCGGGAAGTGGGTCCAAGGTTAGACGTATGGGCCCCTACTATGGGCCCTTAAGGGGTGGTTCTAGGGTCCCTTAAGGGTACATATAGGGTATATATAGTAATTAGGTATATAAGGATCCCAGACTTAAGGGCCCAAACAAGGGGCCCATGGTTTCATCCTTAGAGTGGGGTCCGTTTGAGGTTTCATGAGCTGAGAGCTTTGGGTTTACGGTTTAGGGGCAGGATTCAGGGTTTTGCTTGTTCGTCCAGGGCTTGTTTCAGGTTCTTATGAAGGTTCTATGAGGGTTCGATATTAGTTTCTCCGGATTTGCAACTTACGGTTTATGTAAGGGGCCTCTAAACAGTTGAGGGCCTCGGGTTAAGTGCTCTAGAAGCTGATATAGGGGCCTAAATAACTACCTATACTATTTTGGGGGGCTCCTTAAAATGATTTTAGTATAATGGGCCCCAACACCCTATTCTAATTTTTAAGGCTTACATTATGGCTATGACTGTCGTCTCACAGGTTTCAGGATTTCTGGCGTTGCTCTCGGGTTGCTGGGCTTCGGCTTGCTGTCGGTCGCTGCCTGGATAAGACACAGCCCAGGGCCGGAAGATGTTCCCTATTTTATATAGGTTTTAGGGTTTAAGGGCCTAAATAACGACCAACACTATTTTGCGGGGTCCTTTTTATAAGTATAGTATAAGGGGCCCCAAAACACTATTCTAGGTATTAAGGCCCCTATATCAGGGTTCGAAGTTCCATCTTGATTTGGGCTTTAGGCTCAACAGTGCTAGCGGAGTTGGACAATAAACTGGGATTCGCGGCTCACGCCACAGCCTAGCGCCGAATGTACAATCAGCAGACTAAAATCCAAAGGCATGTCACAATGCTTGTAAGCCCCGTTAGCTCCGTGAACATCAAGTTCTCTTTATTTCCACCTGCGTGCCTTGTTGATGCTGAAGTTTCAAGCTCCGAAAATCGACGTGCATGTCCAACTGACTAGCTCTGTGTCTCGTGGCGATGAAGGCAGATTCCGTGCCGAAGCACAACAAGTCGCTGATGTTTGACTGCGCGATCGCCGTCTGCTGAAAGAAGGCGGAGGAGATCTACATGAAGGCAGGTGTCCAGTACAACCAGGGGCCAGCGGACCGTGGAAGTACAGTGGCCCGGATTTGGCAGCGGGCATGCAGGAGGTGAAGGACAGCAATGGTGGTGACACCACCACCCTACAAGCGGCGTGGTGCTAGCCATCGGACAGCATTGAGCTTTGTGCTTTTTGGGCACAAAGACGATGGCGACTGAATGCGGGTGGCAGCACTGCGATGTCAACCCGTGCATTGCAATGCTGTTTGGCACCAGCGGTGTGGCAAAGGTGCACATGTGAGTCTTGAGGATGACCCGACACAAGGGGGGGAGAGTTGGCTGAGCTGGGGAGTCCTGGAGGCACAACCTCCGGATATGGCTGGGGGCCAACACGTTCGAGACCGGCAAAGGGTGAAACCGAATGGGCCGGATTGCACCATACATAGAAGTTTCTCTGCGAAGAGAGTGTGCGAGCTGCTCATGCCAGAGTTCAAGTGCCAGCACTACAGCAGACTGCAAGACCGCATTCTGACCAGGCCGTCTCAACAGCGGAGTGCGGGGCTCACGAGAGACACAAACTAAACATGCGAACAGATCGCCAGGTTCTTCCAGACCATGAAAATGCAGACACCGTTTCATGCACAGCAGTGACCGGGTTTCTCCATTCGGCGCGGGCACATGGGACCGCACATGCGAGGTCTCATCCTGGTTCAGCGACGGTTGGCGAGGGTTTGATGTGCGCGGAAGAATTACAAGCTGAAAGCATCTCCTTTTCAGGATGGGTAGATCATGGAGCGGTGCGGCATGGCATCGCCTGTGCAATGGCCAATTCTTGTGGGGCATTGAATTGTGGTGGTCCGTGTAGGGATGCACTAGGTACCGTTCGCATTCGGAGGGCGGGCTCGCAGACGCTTGCAACAGCCACAGCTGCCCGGATGTGTGGATCGCTCCCACTGATTACATGACCAGACCATGAACAAAGTGCACAGCGTCGAGATGTCTTTGCGGAGGGTCGCAACAAACCAATTTCCAGAGGCAGTGTGGGCAAAGAGAAGCTTGCATGCTGTGAGTATGACGCGCGACTTCACCAGGACCGCCTTCGCTGCGGCATGGCCTTCTTCTGGCCGGGGCTTGCCTTCAGTTGCGGAAATTGTCCCACGTGCCAGGGGCCAAGGGTTAGTGAACATGCAAAGAGGCAAATCTGAGCTTGTATTCCCCTTAAATCCTGATGCCGGTGAGTGTGTGCATCTCCCACCTGTCAGCCCTGTCTCCGCGCCAGTCCGTCAGCTTAGTACCTTTGTGCCAGCACACGCGAAGCTTCCCTTCTCGACAAGTGAGATGTCTCTCCAACTGCCCGACTTCAACCGAAGCAGGAGGCTTGAGGGGGTTGGGCCCATGTTCGCATGGTGCCGGTCGCGGAGATTTGAACTGTTGCTGGGTCTCCCCGATGACACAAGCAAGCTGTGGGAAAGCGGGAGCGGAACATCCAAGAACGCAGACTTGCAACAGAGCTTGCCTTGAATTTCCAACCCAAGAAAGAACTCCGCTCGTCTCCTTTGCACAAGCGCGGCTTGGTCTTGGGGTACGGGACCTTGTCGGGATGGAGCGCGAGGGTGGTTGCGAGCCCGGAGCATTGTCCGGTGGCAGCGTTTGGAATGCACTATGGCACTATGGCCGATGCAGTGGACAACTGCAGACAGAACAACAGTTTGCGACTTCATGTGCAACAGTTGACGAGTTAGCAGCGTCTGGCCGTGGCTCGCCAGTGCAACGCACATCTACAGATTAGCAGCCTTCGACCAACAAGACAAAGATGCCGACAGCAGCTTGCAGGAATGGTGCAGATTCGCAGACCGCAGCACAACCAAGGATCAGGCTGCTGCGGCACCGACTTGGATGACTTTCGGGTCTGACTGGTTCTGGTGTGGGAAGCTGGTAATGAAAACCGCGGCTTCTCGGACACATCGGCTTCCATTCATACTGTTGTACCGGTCAACCACGCTTTTGGAAAAATATAAAATGTGCAAAACCAGAACTGCAGCAGAGCTCATGTGGCGGCGTACACAGGTACACTGAATTGTGATATTGATCACATCGCGGTTTATGTGTCTGCGGTCTGCAAACCAACCTTCAAAGCGAAGTTGTATGGTGGTATGTACAGCAGATCAAATAAACTCAGGGGTCAGGGCGCTTTTCACCGCCATTTGGTATGCACAAGATTATGCACGCCTCTGCCAAGGTACCGGCCGCAATTGTCCACGAGTCCAAAGTCCAAAACGTTGTGCAGTGATTTGCTAAAGCAGTTGTTACGCTTTTATTGATCCGTGATTGCCCATCAGATTGACTTGACCTTCACTTTGCCCCGGCATTCCAGGCGCCCAAACTGGACAATGCGATTTCGCCGCAGGTGGGTCCTGGAAGTGGGGTGCACGGACGGATTAGCAAACGTTAGGAAGTTGCCGTGTTTGCTTGCAGCAATAGCAGTCGGGACCAGAAAATTAGGTCTTACCAGCTTCCAGCTTCGATCCAAGTTGCATTGTTTTCTTGTTTTTGCGACTTGTTCCTGCAAGGCACACCGCAGGCGCAGTCGATCACGACGACCTCGGCCTGCTCAAGGGCCCCGGTGTCCTGGCATCAAACAGCTTCACCAGTTAAGGCCGACAGTCAAAGTCATAGGCTTCAAGGTTCAACCAATGGCTGGGCATTGAGCATGATGACACAGTTCGGAGATTGGATTCCCATCAGCCGCAACAGCACAGCAGCATGTTCTTGGCATGCCAGTCATGCATGATAGCGCACCCATGCAGCACACATGCTCAAGACGCCGAGGTCGCGAAGCCAACCGAGGCGACAAAGATCGCCGCAGCTTGGGATGGTCTTGTGCGTCAAGTTTTCAATGTTTGAACGGGTTTATTGCAAATTAAACGCAGTATAGCGCCAGAACTGTTCGGCCGATGCTGCTGGCTGCAGGCCCCCGCCCTCGAAGAGGAATGCTTCACCGCCGCGATCGGCAAAGTCCCCACCGCGGCCGGCGCGGTCGTGGTTTGGACAGCATTCAGTTTGCGGGTTGCTTCATGCCTTAAGGTGTTCTATGGTCAAAACCTGACATCAAGCCATGTTTTTCTGACTGGGCTTCTCAGTTCAACACTTGTACCTAGCAGTCCAACGGCTCCATGCATTCATCCTGGTATTGGCGGACTTCGTTGGATCCAACTCCAAAGAGCCACAACTACTGGTTCGCGAGGTTCGGAACCTCCGCGTCCAACAGAGAGGACCCTGAATGACAAGATCTTTACGGCAGCCACGAAAGCCCTGAACCTGCAGCAATAAAACCGCAAACCGCAACCTTGAAGCCCTAGGGCCTTCACCTCAAGCTAAACCCCTGGCCCTGCATTGCAAGATTTTCTTGCAAGCCTGGTTTTTGAGTTATGGTCCTATAGTAAGAGAAGACGATACTCAAAAAGGCACTCCGCTTTAGCATCTAGATACAGCTTGCTTCTTAAAGTCCAAGCGCAAGACAAACGCACAGACATCCGAAAACCCTAAACCCTAAACCCCAAACCCTAAATCATAAACCCCACACCCTAAAGCAGCGAACCCAGACCTGATTCCCTGGTCCCCTCTCTATTTGTTCTTGCAGTCCCAATAGAGGGTTCAGGGTCCCAAGGAAGAATCTCTCCCATCACTGCTACAAGAACACTTTAAAGCGCTAGAACATGTTCAGCAAAACCCTACAGGGTTTAGGGTTTAGGGAAACCTGACAGTTACTTACAGGTGAGAAAGAAATCACCTACAGAAACCCTGTATAAATCACCAGAAAAAGCAGACAAATGCTTTAAGGGTTTAGGGTTTAGGGTTTAGGGTTTAGGCGCCCCATAAGAGCCCTCGTGAGCAAGGCCGGTGAAGAGCCGGGGCCCCTCTCCCACGAAGCAGCGATCGGAAGGTTGGGGGGAGGGTTCAGGGCTTTGGGTTTGGGGGTTTAGGGGTTTGGGGTTTAGGGTTTAGGGCCTAGGGTTCAGGGTTCAGGGTTTATGAGGGTTTAGGGTTTAGGGTTCAGGGTTTGGTTCAGGATCTCAAAAAAAGGGGCGCGCAAACATGGAATAGGGTTTTGGGCTAAGTTATAGTATAATGGTATAGTAGGGAACGCTAAGGTACAATATGTGTATATATTCAGGCTTCCACATTAGTCGGGCTTAGGGCTTAGGATCCAGATTACGGCTTAGTAAGTCAGGGGTTTAAGGGTGGCTTGAGGCTCTAAGGTCCCGGCGTAGACGGTATAGAAGGGCTCGTAGAGTTTCTTGGCTTCGACTCTAAAGTGGTCTGCAGAAGGTTAGGGTTTAGGGTTTAGGGTTTAGGGTGTAGGGTTTAGAGTTTTGGGTTTAGGGCTTAGGGACGGTTAGTCAGAGTTTTCAATTGGTTCATGAGGGTTTGTGCAGGTTTCAGAGGGCTTGTGCAGGGTGTTTGTAAAGGGATTTCGGGAGTTCAGGGCATTTAGCAAATTACATGGCGGTGACTGCCGCGAAGCCTCTGTGCTGTACCGCTACATCCGTGATGCCATCGTAAACCCCTTAACCCCAAACCCTAAACCGCGAAACCCTGAACCTAAACACTACACCCAAGGACCAGAAGTGTGCAAACCCTGAACCCTAAACCCTAAACACCCTAAACCCTAAACCCAAGTTGAGCTTACGGGCCTGAATAAGGGCCGTAGTGGTGAGAACGGGGTCCTGGGCTCCTTTATATTATAACTGTAGTAAGGAACCCCCCAAAATATTATTGGTAATTATTAAGCCCTAATAATTACCAAGAACAATATTTTTTTGGGGGGTCCTTACTATAGTTATAGTAGCAAGCAGCCCAGGACACCATTCTAATCATTAAGGCTCCGATATTAATGTTAGTAGTAGAGTAGGTAATCTTTAACTTGTTTTTGGGGGGAAGCATAATTCCTATACTTACCAATACCCCTTGTTTTATCTTGTTTTAAGTATGGTATAACAAACCCAGAAACCCTATTTCAACAAAAGGCCCCGCAAATGACCCTACACACTAAACCCTAAACCCTAAACCCTAAACCTTAAGCCCTAAGCCGTAAACCCTTAGCCCTGAAGCGTTAGCCCTGGAATTTGGAGGGTAGGTTCTTGTCTGGGTTCCTTTAACAGTGCGTATAGTATACCATCGTAGAACACTGTCGTTTGTTATAGTAGAGATTCCCTTTCTGGAGGTTCATGGGCAGTTGTAACTGGAGTAACAAGTCCTTTGGTTATTATGGGTTATAGCTATGTAGGGCTTAGGGTTCAAGGGTTTAGTGGAGTCATAAGTCCCCTGATACAGGCTATATCTATATCTATCCTACTTAAAACCCTAGTTATAACCAGCCATGAACCTCCAAGTAGGGTTAGGTGGTCGGGCTGTTCAGGGGTTTAGGGGTACAGGGGTTCAGGGGTTTAGGGGTTTAGGGTTTAGGGTTTGGGGTTTGAGGTTTAGGGCTTTGTGTTTGGGGTTTAGGGCGGTTTAGGGTTTAATGAAGTCAGGGATTTGGATCCTGGACCCGGCAGCCCAGGCGCTACACACCAAACTCCAAGCCCTAGAGGCCGTGATGCCGCAAAACCACCCTAAACCCTACATTCCTTGAAGCCCCTGAAACCTAAACCCCAAACCCCGAAACCTTAAACCCGAAACCGTAAATCCAAGCCCCTAAACCCTAAATCCAAAACCCTATAAGCCCTAAGCCCTAAACCCTAAACCCTAAACCCTGCAACCTTTAAACCCTAAACCCTAAACCCTGCAACCTTAAACCCTAAACCCTAAACCCTGAAACCTTAAACCCTAAACCCTAAAGCCTGAAACCTTAAACCCTAAACCCTAAACCCTGCAACCTTAAACCCTAAACCCTAAACCCTGAAACCTTAAAC